AAAGTTGGCAGCTCGACCAATCAACAACAGGACTACCAATTCAGAAGTAAGTGGTGCCAAGATCGCATAAATGACAAAAATTTATTAATTTAATATTAGTATTTAATTATCTGGCTACCTAGTATTAATAAACTAAAACTAATAATCAAGTTTAAAAATAATTAAAACTGGCCTTTACGCTTAAAATAATAAATAAATTAAAATTGAAACAAGTATTTTATCAATGCTTTTTGAAATATTTTNATGATGTTCTGTTTACTAGTTATTTTGAAAAGATTTATTTTTAAAATAATTATTTAAAATGTATAGTTTTTTCATTAATATTAATTGGTTGTTATCCACTCATTAAAATATCTGATATTATCAAACAGCAGACAATTCACTTTGATTCACAACTTAAATATCCAAAGAAACTTAAATTATTTTTTCAAGTAATTTTGAATTGAAAAATAGTTTGATTGAACACAATTGAAAAATTTTATCATACAGAAATTTGTTTTTGTTTCAAAATTGCATTTACCTTATGTCTTATTTTAAACACCTGTTTCTTTAACACAGTGTTTTTCAACCTGTGGGGGTTGCGGGTGAAAGAACAAGTGTTTGTAGATCCTATACTACAATAAAAAGAAAAAGTAGAATTTCAGTGAGAAGGCTATGCCTGTTTATTTTACAGTACAATTGGTTTTCGATCAATATTTAAAGAAAGAAAATTAAATACATAGTTTTAAAATCACTGATATAGTTTTAATATGGCCCTGGGGGTCACCAGAATTTTTTAACTTGTAAAGAAGTCGCGTATTCAAGAAGGTTGAAAAACGCTGCTTTAACACATTCATTGCTGGTATAAAAACTGATTTTCATACCAATAAGCTGAAATACATAGTTTTAAAATCACTGATATAGTTTTAATATGGCCCTGGGGGTCGCCAGAATTTTTTAACTTGTAAAGAAGTCGCGTATTCAAGAAGGTTGAAAAACACTGACCTAGAGTAAGCGTATGACATGGTGCATAGACCGGAGGTTTGGAGATGTATGAGATTAAAGGAAATACNCAGATTACTAATACAAAATCAATGGATGAAATATATTCTTTGAAGCTTATAATAAACAATAAAAATTTAAGTAAAAATAAAAAAAAACTTTCTTCCTTATAATCAAAGGATGAAATTTTCCACAGTAATTGAAATATCTTTTCAAAAATGAATATACTATATCTGTTACTTGTTTCAGAAAGAAAACCAAATATAAATTAACATTTCATAATAATTTAGACAATAATTTTCAAAAGGAATAGAATTGTTAGGGAACTATGTAAAACAATCCACAAATATGAAACATAAATAGTACTTTATTGTATAAGTATTGATGATGAAATTTATAAATGATTAATTTATCATCTATTTTCTGATTTTACTGATTTTTTTTTTTTTTTATTTTAGCTGCAGAAAAGGAACCATTATGTAGGCAAAAGGTACCTTTAGTTTTATAATTTCTAAGTAAACAAGCAAACTATTAATAAAATGTTATTTAAATCTTATATAGATTAATCCAATCTTGAATATTCTAAATCAGTTGTCAAGTAAAATACATAGAATAAGTATATAAATGATATTCTTTTAATAATATAACAATAATGATTTGTTTTAATGATTTATTATAAGTTATCATCACTTTTTAGTTTAGTCATATGTAAATAAATTATTTCTGATTCAATTATTTAATTTTATTAATAAATACAGTTGATTGTATAACTAATATATTTTATCAGTCAAATTTTGACTCCCCTTTGTATTCCTCAATATTTTTACACTCAAGAAGACCAAAAATATAGAAAAATGTTGTGGACATCATTGTTTGTTTTAAATGATAAAGAGTATTATAGGATAATGCAATAAAAAAACGAGGAATGTAATCTAGTTATAGCTAGTTATGCAAGCTAAATTAATCATAGAAAATTCTATTGTGTACGTTATTGATATTTGATAAATACTGTAAAGATCACTGACTTTGGATGAACAACATTCTGTCACTGAATTTTCAATTACATATTAACTTGAGTGTAAAACTTAAATTTTATCTTAATAGCTTCACAAAAGAATTATTGATAAAGGTGTCCCTGAAGATGCTATGCCTGGTATAAGAAATGCTAAGGTAAATTCTTTTGTTTAGTATCAAATAATGATTATTTTAATATGGAATATATTTAATTAAATAGTTAAAAATTGCATAAAATAATTAGTAAATGTAATAATGAAATTCTGTGAGTAACGATAATTCTTGAATAATTTGAAATTTCATGTAAAAACAAACCACAATTTTGTATATTTTCAAAAAAATATATATTTTTTTGAAAATATACAAAATTGTGGTTTGTTTATATATGTTAGGCTCAAAGACCAAAATCGCTCATTGAGCAAAAAAAAATGACCACAACGTGAAATTCATGTCATGGCTTTCATATTTGACTACTATGTGTTGTGGTGATTAAGAAAAGCCATAATGCATTCTGAATGTTAGCTGATGCAATCATGATACTGGATCATACGATGCACAGTGGTTTGTAACTTTAAAATATGGATTCTAGGCTCAAAACATTTTTATTTACAATTTTTAATGCCAAACAACATTAGTTCTACAGGTTTTCCTAGAAATTTAATTTTCATACTTAAAAAAAATTCTAAGAAATAAAGTATATAGAGAAAAATACACATTTGTTTCTTTTGTTTTGCTGAAAAATGCTAAAGGTCTAATTACATATACTTGAAGGTGCTTGATATACTATACATCAGGTGTGGCCAAACTTTTATCCCTTAGGGGCTACTTTTTTGGTAAAATGTAGTCTGCAGACAACTATGAATATGGGCAAACAATTTTAGGATATTTATATGCGTTAACATTCATTTGCATTGTTCATTGGGATAAATACAAACAGTATGGGTACGTTGCACAGACAGTCTATTATTATTATAAGAATAAATTGTCAAATTAAGATTTTTAAACATTAATTTAAGTGAAAGCAAATTGTTCAACTTCAGCTTTGCGGTCGACTGCGGTCTACGTGTTGGCCATCCCTGCTATACATAATAAAATAAAAATCAGCTGCTAAAGTTAAAAACCACTGTGTGGCAGATTTATTATGGTTAAAAGCCACCACACGTTCTGGATGTTAACTAATAATGAGGTTGCGTATTCTGAAACCATGTCTTCTTTTATGTTTTTATCGTCACAACTAGGTACATATCTATCTATGCACCTAGTTGTGACGATAAAAACAGATTAAAGAAGAGACGGTTTCAGAACACACAATTTTAAACAGAATGTATTTGTGTCAACACCACCAACAAGAAATCCTGGAAGTCATTCCGACAGATGAGGGGCTTATGCCCAAAACATGTATCAGCCTACTGTATAGGATATTCCGAATAAAAATGTTGTATTGATAGAAATGCCCAGTGTCTATCTATGCACCTAGTCATGATGATAAAACAAATAATAACGAGGTGATAAGAAAATAAAACTTTGTCATTATGATTTATTTATCTTCAATCATCTTATATAAGCAGGTAACAAAATTATTCATCACATACAGAAATTTAACTTGGTTACTTTACAACAACATTTAATTATACATGCATTTTATGTTCTTTGAGTGACATTTGCATTTTTATCAATACAGTATCTTTTACAGTGACACATTGTAAAGATTACTTCCAGATGTTAACATGGATGCTGAGCAAAGTGTTCATAAAGTTGAGGGTACGTCCTGAATGTTAATAAAGTTACTGTAGAAATTGTAAATTCATTACGAGCATAAAGTCAACTTGTTTTCTAACTGATAGAGACCTGATGGATTAATGCTCATAACAGTTAAACATTTCTGGGAGCTACACATCCCCTATCAACATTAGGCACACTAACTAAAACAATCAAACCAATTTCAACTGCAGAAAATTACCTAAATTGAGAAAACTCTTTGAGCTCAAGCTCGAATAAAAAAAAAATTAGACAAATGGTTCTACAACAAAGATCCCTGTACTGTTATTGTGAAATAATAATCAGAACAATTCTTAATTCATTGTTTTTGAAAATTTTAATAACAAAGCCTAAAACCTAAGACATTTTAATCAGAGGTATTAATTTACATCTGATATGGAGAGTGCAAATGGCTCAATGGCATGAAGGTTGAGAAAAGCGAAATCCTACTCGGATGTAATATACAGTAAGACCTCGGTTTTCGTTGACTTCGGTTATTGTCGGTTTTGGATTTCACTGATTGTTTTCAGACAGATTATCGACGAAAACCAAAGTATCACAGTATGGTGTACACCCATGTACCTAGCATCAATCTGCATTATTTCTTTAGCTTCTGTTGTCCTATCCTAAAACCCTCCAGTTATAGGGAAAAAAAGAATGGTTTTAGGCTAAAACTTTTTCCAGTGAAACTTGTAGAGCAATGAGTAATAGCATCAGAATACAGGGTAGTTTTACTCTAGATTTACCCTAAATATAAGACTACCCGAAACATTACTCTGAGAGGTTGAAATTACCCTAGAAATGGTGGCACTGGTCAAGAATGAACACAATACAAACTCTGCAAGTGTTTGCAATGCGCTTGTTGACAAGTTACAACCTATCCTTCATATCATGGTTGCATCAGCGCATCATGCGAATTTCCCTTCGTGACCACATCATCATGTGGTCGTTTTTTTTTTTTTTTTTTCTTAATGAGGGATTTCGGTCTTTGAGCCTAACATATATATACACTCACTTATGACTGAAATACATTAAATGTTATAGCTACAAAATCAAAACTAAAATTATGCTTTAATGAGGATTATGCAAACATACAAAATTTCTTTGTATAAATTTTATTCAAAGCAATTAATGCAATTAATCTATTTTTTCGTAATTTATAAAAATAATTGAAACTTTTAATTAGCAATTATTAAAGTATTATTTTGTAAGAATGTTGATAACAAATGTAATTTTCACAATTTTAGGATAGTTTACCGCCATTTCCCCTTTCTGGAATGGTAAATAAATCTGGAGGAAAAGTACGACTGACTTTTAAATTAGAAGTTGATCAATTGTGGATAGGAACAAAAGGTTTGTGTATAAGATTTCATATAAATATTTTTAAAAACATAAAAAAAATGAAGTAAGGAAGGCTATTCATGATATTAAGACCAGTTTCTTATTAGGATGTAAGCATTATTACACTGAATTACAATGGGCAATATATCAGCAGCATAGAACTCTACTATTCTACATAGAATATTTTAATTTGTTTTCTCAAAATGGATCATGTTGATATACTTCCTCTATTCATTCTATGACAAAGTGAGACAAGGAAGAAAGAAATGGAGAATGAAATATTGGGTTTGTCCAATTAATAGTCTACATGAGGAAAGGAACTGTTTTTTTTCTTTTTACATTCCTATATCATATAATATTTCTTTAACNTTTGAAAATTTGAAGAAAAAAATTTTTTTGTGTTTAACTATATTTGAAACTGATTTCTCAAATATGCCTAACATCAGGTTACAAATGCCCCTGTTTACGAACAAAAAATTTTGAATGCCATATTTGCTTTGGTTGTTCTGATAACTGTTTCTGAACAAGCTGTTTGGCAGGAACCATCCATAAATGGTGAACTCTCTACATTTCCTCTGTTTTAAAGAAAGTTGGCAGCTCGACCAATCAACAACAGGACTACCAATTCAGAAGTAAGTGGTGCCAAGATCGCATAAATGACAAAAATTTATTAATTTAATATTAGTATTTAATTATCTGGCTACCTAGTATTAATAAACTAAAACTAATAATCAAGTTTAAAAATAATTAAAACTGGCCTTTACGCTTAAAATAATAAATAAATTAAAATTGAAACAAGTATTTTATCAATGCTTTTTGAAATATTTTGTTGGTCTTGATAGATTTGATTATACTTCATCTTGACAGTCAGAGTTCTATTTATACTTCATCTTGACAGTCAGAGTTTCGTCGCTCTCCTGACTGTTGTACATCGACCCTTTTATTTACGTTATAATCAATTATTAGATATCAAATTTTCATTTTTTGGCCCCCCTGACGGAAAGTATCATATTACAACAAGCAGTTAACGTGTTAATCAAATAGATTTACTGGAATGTTTACAACTTGTTCATTGAACTATTACAAATTTAAGAATGCTCCATTTTTTAGAAAGACATTTGTACAAAGCATCACAAAGTCTTTACTGTGAATGATGGTATAAGAAACAGCATGATATAAATTTCAGTTGTTGCAACACCAGTGACATGTTGCAAGTTTTCAAGATAGTGTATGATACAAAATATGAGTATGTGACACTGTTTGAAAATATTTCATTAACTTCAATGCTACTGGCTTAAATGTATTTAGATTTGCATTAATTGAGGCAGAGCATTAGCAAAGCGTCTTTGTAGATTTCAGCTTGTTCTCAAAATTTGATCAATCAGTTTTGATTAAAATTTGTCATTTTACATAATGAGATGGAAAAATTTAAAATATTATGAAAATCAGGTCCATGATTTTGTTTTCAAGATAGTGAGGTCAAAGTAACAATGTCCACGATCACTAGCATGAGCATATGCAATTTTTTAAATTCTTTTTTTATACCGGTAACGACAAGTGATCATCGTAGATGGCCCACCAAAATGTTACTAACTTCCTAGTGCATTTTTGGAGAGAAACCAATTATACTTAATATATATATTTAAATTTTTAGATGAAATAGCTTTATTACATTGCAATATCCAGGTTTGTTTAATGTAAAATAATGATAGTCAAATATAAAATAAATTTTTTTTAATTACCGATAAGCAAATGCTGGCTTAATTGTTAGTAATAATATAAATTTTAGGATTTTAAGTAATAAAACTAAATAAAATTATTAAATTTTTCCAAATTAAATGTTCTGTTTAAAAATTTTAATGTAATATAATTTTTCGTATTAAAATATGGTAAAACAAAAACATTACTACAAACAAAAGAAAAAAAATTATTAAAAACATATTATTGTAAAAGAATATTTTCTTTCCAATAATAATAAATACAGTCAAAGTTAACTTGAAATTTATATTAATTTATATATATAAATAATAAATTTTTTAAATAGAAAGAACAGATAAAATTCCAATGAATTCCATTAAAAATGTAGTCAGTGAAGCTATTGAAGGACATGAAGAATATCACTTAATGGTAAGTATAACAACAACTTTAAAAATTGTAGAAAACTTTTAGGCCTTGGATGTTATGTTGTAACCTTAATTTCAGGGCATCCAACTTGGTCCCACCGAAGCTTCCCGATATTGGATTTACTGGGTTCCAGTGCAATATATTGATGCTATAAAAGATGCAATATTAGGAAAATGGCAGTATTTTTGATGGTTTTATGTAATACTTGTACAGTTTAGGAACACAATTTTTATACTGTGAAATAAAGCCCTAATTGGCAATGCTCAAATAACAGTTTATCACTTTTTACATTTTAAATTATAAAATGTTGTTATGTATAATTTGGATTGTTTGTATATCAAAATGTTATTAATACAGTGATTTAGCAATGAAGCTTACCGACTTTCAAATTTATAACTTTAAAACACTGAATATATAATCTTTAATTTTGACTTGGCTAAAATATTTTTTAATGTTATTGATATTGCCGATATTATTTATCAATTGCAATATGAATTAAATCTTATATCTTCATCAGACCATTATGATGTTTATTTGTCTAGCTCAAACAGAATTGCATAAAATACAAATATATATATAAAGAAGTATATTGAAATTATAATAATAATTTAAAATTGAATTTCTAATTTGTCTCTCATACAAAACTTATTAAATAATAAATATATTTCAAAAATAGTCCATCTGTAAGTGGGAAAAAAAATCAAATTAAATAACTTTGTCATCAATTAACTTCTTTCACTCACAAATATATAAGTGTACAGTAGAGCATCGATTATCCGACTCAGTTGGGGACTGGGGTTGGTCGGATAACTGAAAAAACAGATAATCGAAAAATATGAAAAAATACATTATTAGTATAGTATATCGCATGTAATTAGTATATCGCTATTAACCTACTTTGCATTGAATTTTCATCGATATTAAGCCTAACAAAAATTTTTTAAAATAATAATCGCTGCTATTGTATTGTTAAAAATTAGAAAATTAAGCCTCGTTTAAATACTGGCTCCCTTTTCATGGTCGAGCCAGTGTTGCCAACTAAAACACGTAAAAATAATATTAAAGTAGCCAAGACATAGCGAAATATTGTAGCATTCCATCACTAGCGGACATTTGAATTTGCTGACTAGAACGCGGTCGGTTAACCGATGTGACGGTTGATTGGGGGTCGGATAATCGATGCTCTACTGTATTTTGAAAATTTGAAGAAAAAAATTTTTTTGTGTTTAACTATATTTGAAACTGATTTCTCAAATATGCCTAACATCAGGTTACAAATGCCCCTGTTTACGAACAAAAAATTTTGAATGCCATATTTGCTTTGGTTGTTCTGATAACTGTTTCTGAACAAGCTGTTTGGCAGGAACCATCCATAAATGGTGAACTCTCTACATTTCCTCTGTTTTAAAGAAAGTTGGCAGCTCGACCAATCAACAACAGGACTACCAATTCAGAAGTAAGTGGTGCCAAGATCGCATAAATGACAAAAATTTATTAATTTAATATTAGTATTTAATTATCTGGCTACCTAGTATTAATAAACTAAAACTAATAATCAAGTTTAAAAATAATTAAAACTGGCCTTTACGCTTAAAATAATAAATAAATTAAAATTGAAACAAGTATTTTATCAATGCTTTTTGAAATACTTTGTTGGTCTTGATAGATTTGATTATACTTCATCTTGACAGTCAGAGTTGTCTCTCTATTTATAGAACTTTGTAAAGTGTTAGCTTTGGTTACTGATGAGGGAACATTCTGCTTTTAATACTATATATATATACTATACCTATATATAGGTATAAATACATATCAAGTAATATTATGTATAATATAATGATGCCTTAGCTTATTTCATGCATAAAATGCTTCTAAACAAGGTAAAAGACAGGTTTTGTTTTGGGGATTGGGACCAGATTAATCCATTTTACATTGTTTCTTATGGAAAAATTGGTTTCAGTTTGAGAACAAATCAGTTTCCGAACAACTTTTAGGAACGAAGTTTGTAAACCGAGGTTTGACTGTATTAATGCAATTTCAGAAATATAGTTTAGATCACAAATATATTATTTGTTATAAATCTTGGGATTGTCAACTTGAAGCATTAATGTCTGCAAATCAATTTTTTCCAAATTGACAAAATAATACATGCATCATATTTAAAATTTTCTACAACAGTTACTAGTTGGATGTTAATTTTATGGAAGATAAAATATAACTTAGTTTTGATCTATAATATGTCATGTTTATTATACTTACATCCTTGTAAAATGCTTTACTTAACAAACCATTATTTATATTCCTGAATCAAACTTTTTAGATCACTACCCTGTGTTTCTTTATGCAGTGCTCGAGAAGTGCTTTACAGCAAACACACTGAAACTGGTTTCTAATTGGCCAACACTGCTCGTGACGTCATTTCGCTACACTCTTGCTATATAAAGAAATACGGGGCTACCGACTTCAAGTGAATTATAAAAATAATTCAAGTAATAAATTTAAATAGTTATTTTTAATAAAAGAGACTGATGTATTAAAGGGATAATATATAACATTGCTTACATTAACAAGTGTTAATGTAAGATATACAAATAATTGTGATAGTATTTACTTATACTTTCATCTGTTAGTTAACCACTTTTCAATATTTGACCATTATTCTATCATTTTGCTATTAGAGACAATTTGTTAAATATATCTGTAATTGATGATAATTTAATACATAATTTTATTAGATTTACTTTAAATGATTATAAGTCACAAATTTTATTCAAAGTTGAGGTAAATAGAAAAATTTCTTACAGTATTATTAAATCATAAAATATTCCATCTTGACACTGACAATAATGAAGACCTATTGGAACTTATAGAATTAATTAAACTAGTGATTGGTAGAGAAATTCATTTTATTGAAACAGTCATTCTATTATCTATTTGAAAATATTTATACCAAACAAAAAAATTTCAGTTTAATTAGTTTCAAGTAGGGTTTCTCATTTCCCGATCCCTTTTCCCTGAAATCCCGGGACAAGCAAAGGAACTGTTTCCTGGGATCCAGGAATATAATTAATTATTTTTAAGATATAAAATAAATTTTGAAATCGAATGATAAATTTCTTAAAAAATGAAAAATAATTATAATGCATCCTGCAATCTCCAAAATAATAATAATAATAATGCTGTGTAAAATATTTATTAAAAATTACCTTTTAATTCTGAAAATTTCTACATAATTCGAAATTTATTGAAATTTGGTGGAAACTGTTTACAAAAAAAAATGTGAATTGAGTAGAAAATTTAGATCAAACTTCTAAGTTAGAAGGTAATTTTTGTTTTTTAAATAAAACCTAATACAAAATATTGTAAAAAAATGATTTGTATATTATTTTAAAAAGCAGAGATGGTCAAAACTCCAATCACTCAATCTGGCTCTTATTTTAGTAATGAAAAGTCCTGCTACCGAGAATGCCCCTTCCAATTCAATTGATGAGGGTGCAATAGTCTTTAATGCATTTAAGAGATTGATGTTTTTTTTTTTTTCACCTGCAGCCTGGAAGATTTCTAGTTTGTTTTTGAGATGTGTTGCAGTACTTCTTTTGCCATCTAGTATTCTTGATTTGTCTACCTCAGCTGCTTTAAAAGCGGTATTGAGCTTATAGCCTGATAATTTGACAGTTCGTTTGGGCTTTAATAATCAGGTTTATGAAGTAAAATTTCATATTTGCATACTTTGTACTTGTTTGTATCCTTGCCCAATTTGCACAACCTGGCATAATGCAGTTATTGAAGTTACTCGGCATGGTTAAAAATTAAGACGGCATCGGCACAATTATTCCAGATATTACAGATTCTGACAAGTAAAGAATCCTCAGAGTTCTGCCACAAATAAGCTACATATTGATTATTGACCATTTGTGACATGCCATAACAAGCAAAAATTTAAACTAATAAGTAGGTTTAAAATTAATATAAACTGTCAGAATATATTTGTATTTGAGTTAATTATACTTTCTATTTGCAAAATTTCCTCAACCTTAACACAAAATAATAAAAAAGTGACCTTTAAAGAAATTTGCGGGATTTCCCAGGTTAAAAAACAGCCAGGATCTGGTTAGATCTGGAACCCTAGTTTCAACAAATAATATAAAATGACAATTAAAAGACTAACATTAAATTATTCAAAAACTTTCTGTATTTGGAAACTAATAATCAATAGAATTTAGTATTTTGTTTACAAACATATCAGTTGTAACTTACTGTAGATAGTCTGACTGTAGAGATAGCAAATAATAATCAAAAAGCATGTATAGGAAATTTTTTTTAGCCATCAATGTTTAGCCTAAATTTTGGGAATGACAAAAACTTTATCAATCTTCAGAAAATTATTGAAATTTTTAAATTTTATCAAATAATTGAACTGTATGAATAAATGTCCTCGTTTTTAACTTCTGTTTCAAACAGCATCTCAAGAATAGAATGCACATTGATTTTCATGTTTGCTCCACATGGACCTAAAGTGCAGATGGTTTTTATTGAACTAATACTTTTAAAATATGTGAAACATCATAGAAATACTCACAAATACCTGAATTAGAAATTCACTAGACTTTTTCTTAATACTTTACATGAATGAATAACAGTCTCAAATTAACTAATAAATGAAACAAAGCTTTGATGATTGTACATTTTTATTATGCAAAAATAGCAAGTATTCTTGGTTCACAGTTTGACTTGAGAAATGGATTGTATAAGATATAACTGGATATTATTGCAATGCAGCCATGTCACGGAGCTTTAATCTGTGTAACAAAATCAAGTATTTAAAAAAAAAATGGTCCCCATGCAAAGGACAAAAGTGGATATTCATCATGACTTTCCAATTGATGATATCTCCATCAATTAGGATCTTATTACACAAACTTTCTTTTTTTTCCAGCATTTTGCAATTATTATTATTCTAGTTTATTGAGAGAGAAGCCAGTGTATATTTCATTTACTTCATGTATTTTTATGTTCTTTTCCATTGTCATTCCACGGTTGTTCAAGAATATTAGTTACGTCTTATTTTCTTGAATCTATTCTCTATAGACATTTAATTGGCATTAAAAGCATGAACTTCCTAACAGCATAGCTTGAAGTATTTTGTTTAAAAAATATAATAAAAAGTTATAAGTAAAAAATAATCAATGTGTTAGGATATAGGGTGATTATTTTGAAATGTAGTTTCAACACACTTCCTTCAAATAATTTCTCTAATTCAAGAAATATTAAAGGAGCTTTGAGTCAATAGAATTTGTACAAAACGAAAATTTTTCAATTAGAAAAATCAAGCTTTATCCAAAGTTAAATAATCATTAGGATCTGAATTGAGGAACAAAATAGGTTTGGAAGAAAATCGACAATTGTAATGGCCTTGTGACAACAAAAATTAGACACCATTTTTCTGGTAACTTTGGACAAAGCAGTTGGCATAATCACATTTATCATTTTATGATATTGTTTTGTCTTCAAGAATAAATTCAATGCTTCTTCCTTGTTCTTACCTTTTGCAACAGTTTTAAAAAATTAATAGCAAAACTTTTTTGGTGTTATACACATGTACAGTACACATGGAATCTATGTGATCAGTTTCACAATTTTTTTTATTTTGCATGCAATTTATAGAACTTTGTGTCACAATATTTATATTTTGTATACAATGTGTTCAAAAAGTATTTTGAATGTAGCAATATTTCAATTGTCTCTGATAATCTAATTAAGAAATACTCTGAGAAACAATTTGTGTAAATTATTGATGAAATTATAATTTTTATATGAATAACTTGATTACTTATCTAACACAATAAATTAATATTCATCTTCAGATCTTCATTTCTCATCAGTTTACATTTCATAATTAATTAGATGCATTTTGTTTTAGAAATCATGATTTGTTAGTAAATTTTGAAAGCAAAGTTCATTTATGATTATGTAAAGTTGTACACAGTATAAATTATTATCCTGATTTTTTTTATGTATATTGTAATATTCTATAGCTAATGAAAATTGTCCTGAAATAAAACCTGCCTTTTTCAAAATATAAAATTAGTATCATAAATTTGAGAATTGTACAGTATAGATCAATTTAATAGATTTGCTTTATAAACAACAAGTTGCAATTGATTTGTCAAAATTGCATTCTAATTGATATTCATTTGCCTGTAAAGGCAATGAATTTTAACCTAAAAACAATTGAAAATTAAAGATGCATAATAAATATTTGTTTTTAAATTGTATATCCTAGACTTGTATTTAAATTGTCTAATAATAATTGTGTATGTTTAGCCAACAGGTTTGCGTTAGTTGTCACCTGCCAGTGGTGCATCCACCATGGTAAAATGAAATGCTTCTTGGCCAAACTACATTTTATATTAGGAGTTTATCTTTGGCCATAAAGCTTTTTATGCTCCAAATGTGGTATGCAATGGTAAACACTTATGTGCATTTTTATCATTAAAAGAAGTTAATGCATTTGTATTGACAAAAATCTGTAACAGTTTTTTTAACCAAGAAATCATTTAAACAAGAAAAAAAAAATCACAAAAATTGACATTCCTGAACAAAATTAACAATTTCTTTTCTTCTCTCAAATTTAAACTATTTTTCATAAATTAAGATAAAGGTGTTCCAAAATATTTTTAAATTCTTTCCTTGTTGTTAAAATAAAAAGCAGCATAAAGATGAGCAAGTGTTTGTTTTCAATTTTTATTTGTGCTCAAATAGAAAAAATATTTATTCTATTCCTAAAATAAACTAAGCATGTTAGTGACCAATCATCATAACTTATGTAAAAAATGCTAGAAAAAAACTAAGTTACCATCTGTTCCTCCCTTCATCCTCAGTTTTTTGCAGCAGCACCTGAATCTTTTTTCAACTTCAACAGACCTTCGTGTTTGGAATTAATATATTGAATAAACTGGAAGTTATTCTATATACAAGATAAATAATAATTAATGAATGAATGAATAAATAAATATTAAATTTGGTACTTTGATTCAATACCATATTTGTTTTTATACTTTTAATTAGGAATATGCTAGTAATATTTGAGTATAATAAAAATCATTACAAATAATAAGGAATGTCAATTAATGTATTTTTAATTGGTTTTTGGAAATTTTTATTTCATTTTATTTTTATTCTCAAATATTTATATTTGTAACATTTTAAATTTGTAGTTCTGGAACTTTTGGTAATTATAATTACTAACTATAATCTTGTACAAAGTCCAGTCTAAAAGTTTTTGGATACAACCTCATATATTGTTATACTCTGTCCATTCTCATATCTTCTAAAATTACTCTCCTTGATGCAACGTTGCATGTGGGAGAACTAGTTCTGGAAGCACCAACACCAGTCTTCTTCCAAGATGTCTGTGTACTGTACATGGCAACTGACTCTTCTGGACTACCAAAATGACATCCCTTGAGGATCTTGGCTTTGGAATTTGTAGGGTCTGGACTATAAGGTATCCACCTTATAGTCCAGATCCTACAAATTCCAAAGCCAAGGAGGGTGATCAACTGCACTTCAGAGTTGCTCAAATAATCCACTGTTCTTGTATGCACCATTGCATTGTTGTGGTGCAGCAAGAGTTCACAAAGGCCTGTTTTTGGGTGCTGTTTGTGGATTTCTTGAAAGACTAAGACAAATAGTGACATACCACTCTGCATTAATTGTCTTCCTATCCTCGGAGGCTATGGTGGCAACATGACCCAGTCTTCCAAATAATGTTGCCACCATTTTCCGATCAACAGTTCTTGGACATTTGACTGACAGGTGCTGCTTCGTTGGAGAAGACCCAAACCATGGACTGTCTCGCTTTCAGGATCGTACTGGTAGATCCAGGTCTCATCACCAGTTACAATATCCCACACACATTTTAAGCTTCTCTGTTGAAAATTTCCAGCTTATACTGGCACCATTCCACACGAGTTCTTTTTGCTGTTCAGTCAGAGAACAAGGTACCTAATGAGACACGATCTTCCTGACAAAGATGATTGTGCAAGATACCATTCATTGTCACCAATCAAATACCCAAGATGTGCTCAATATGCTTATGGGTTATATGGGGTCTTCTCTAAGCAGTTTTATGGCATAAACTACATTTTCCCAAGTCGTTGCAGTTAATTAAACCACTTCTCTCTATCTTTAAGGCTGTTTCTGACACATCTAAATTCTCCAAACCACCAGAATACTTGCATTCTGGATGGACAAGAACCACTCGCTTGCAAACAGTGGAAGCACTGGGTCTCCGACAAACAAGATATAAAGTCATAAAACATCATTGCTCAAAAATGCTCCTGCGTGAGATCCATCTTCAACATTCAGATTTGGTGGCACTTCTCACACATGGGAAATTTCAAGGACGCAGGTACACTGTTGAACTTGTGCTCAGTAAATATTTGGCAGTAAAGTATCCCAGACAGTTTTTTCCTACATTCGGTGGCTTTCATGTATCCAGAAATTTTCAGTGTGGCCTTCATAAAACAATCTTGAAGTTACATATGTTTGTGCTTAATTGCAAAAATAATTTCAGAATTTTTACAACTATTTCCCCGATTATATTTAGCATACTTTTAAAAAGATCTCTCCAACCACTAGACACTGAGAGGGCCTTTTTTCCGAGCTCACACTGCAGCGGTCAAGTAGCAACAGGCTCAACACTTATGGGGACACAGTCTGCAAAAAATTTGAGTTCTTTGCCTATCCGGATGCAATCTCCAGGAGTGGTAGGCCAACACCTTAACCATTTTGGCCACTTGTCTGCACACTATAATTAGTCTCCGTTGGTCTTTTTGACCTTTTTCAATATGACCCAAGTTGGAAAAACAGAATTTTATTTTAAATTCCAGTTTTTTCCAAGAACTTAATCGTCATCATCCAACAAACTATTTTTGCTTAATATTAAATTCTTATTCCCCTGCCTAAAAATTAATTTAACTTTCCAGATATTACTGAAATTGAACCATTGTTGGCCATCTTATAATTTGAGATTCTCATTACTGTCCAGAAATCTTTAAAATACTCAAACTTCAGTGACAATTAAAAAACAAAAAAAAAAAATGTATTTTAATGGTTCTTTCTAATTTTTTGTCACTAAAACATATATACGCTTGTTCTTATCTTTTGCTCTTTACATTATAAGTAAGTTATTAAATTAGTCAGCCTTCATAGATGCATAAATTTTGAAATTAATATGATTCTGCTATTGTATGCAAGTTTTGGAATGAATACATAATTTTGAAAAGATACTATTGATCAAAACTAGAAATGAAAAGGATTAATTTTCAATCTCCATATACAAAAATTCAAGAACAAATTAACCTCTTTGTTAAGGAATTTATTAATATCAAACTCTATATACAGAGAGTCAATGACATTCAATAAACAAAGAGAAATACAACACACGTGGAACAATGATCGTCTGTATTCCTTTCAGAGTATAAAAAGTTTCGCTCAGATGCTATCAATGCATTTGTTCTCTCTCTTTTCAATTTAGATTTATTTTTTAGCTAAATGTTAAAAAATATTTGGCAACTATTTACAAAATGTTCTCGTAAAGACAGATAATCATTGACAAAAATTTGACATCTCTGTTTTGCCAATTACAAATCTAACTATAATAATAAGAAAGCCAAATTTTCTCTTTCTTCAATTAAAAAACAAAAAAGCCATTTAGACTGTAAGAACGGCATGAGTGCAGATTCGGAAAAATATTAACTTTGTGGAAAACACGACGTATCCGAAGGCGTGCCAGAGAATGAAACTTTACTCGCGTTCTGATCTTTATTTACAAAAGGAATCTGGAAGAATGCAATACATGGTACGGTATGCGCTTACTAAATAAAATAAACTTAATGAATAAAGAAGTAGGGTTGAAAAAATATCACAATTAATGAATGCGAGTCAACTCTTCGATAATCTTCACCAGATCGTCGATCGTGGCCTCTCTCTTCATCCCGCTTCCGTCATCAATCTAAAATTTACGAAGCCGGCCAGGGCATAATTTTTTTTTTAAAGTTGTAAGAAATAAACATAAGTTAAATTATCCTACCTGAATGCCTTGGACAACTTCTTGCATTTTATCCCTGCTGAGATCGAGAAAACTTTCTATTAGATCTCCGTCTATGAAACCCGTAGAAGGTTCGGTTTTCCTTTCTGTGGAGAAAGCTCTCCAAGTAATGTAAGTCAAGGAAAATAATTACTTATAATTTAAATATACAACTTTCATATATTTTAATTTATCAAAACTAGATCTTAACATTATCCATTTCTAGTCACAATAAACAAAGTTTGTATGGATTTGATTATTGTCATAAAGAAATGCCCGTTTAACAAGACAACAATCTCTTCATGCTATCGGCCTCAATGTGTGGTCTTATTATTTTTAATGATTAGCAGTTAACATTTAAATTATTATTTGCTCTTAATGCAAAAATTTATAGAAATTAAAATCTATTCTATTTGTACTGTAGTTTTATTTGCTCAATGTCACCAGTTTAAGGAAATAGCAAGAGACTGCAATATGTGTAATATAAATTTATGCCACTTCAAAATTTTTAAAAAGCAAAAATAACATAAATTTATTTAAATTCTTAATGATATATTTTTATAGTTTATGCAAAATATTCTCACCCTCTTTACAATAGTAAAGTTGTGTTAGTGTTGTCTTTGGCTTCTTAGTGACAACTATATATGATTAAGCTATAGTATTTTTTAAATGTCATGAATTGAGCATTGTTTTTAAAAAAACTATAAAAATAATATAAAAATAAAACTTTTATATCTAAATTTAGATCTAAAAGTTTATAAATATTTATTTCGAAATTTGACATATTTTAAATAAATATAACAGCTTTAGACTGAATGCATAAAATATTTGATAGGATTGCAAAATATAGTTGCATTGCATCAAAATGCATTATCTAAAATTATACATGCTTGATAAAATTATGTACGAGGCGGCAGTATGGAACAGAATGAAACTTCATTAATATAAATGTAATGACAATAGTCTTAAGTGATAGTATCATAGCAAAGTGGCAATTTCTTACAGAACAACAGTACAATTTAAATGAACCTTAAGTACCTTGTCGATTATCCACTTACCTGGATATTTATGGTTGGGTATGGAGGCACATGGGCATTAAATACTATCCCCTAAGACAAACTTTCCCACAGATGTTGCAACTACTATTCCAGATCCTTCATGCTCTTAGATGGCCGAAGTGGTGTGTTAGATGTGCACAGTCAAACATTATCTAAATATGAATAACATTGCTAGACTCCAATCAATGCCAAATTCTATCAGGCTAGATATGGCTAATTACTAAAATTATGCAATCAATTTGGCACTAGAGGGAGGTGTTAGGTGCCAAATTGATCGCATAATTTATTTAGTAATTAGCCATATCTAGCCCGATAGAATTCAGCATTGGTTGGAGTCAAACATTATCTTGCAGGAAAACGGCTGTTTGCAGTCTTGTCGTGAAAGGAAATACATAATGGCTTAGGATTTCACAAATGTACTGCTGTGCCATCAACATCTCTTGTACCATTACTAGGGGCAGTCAACTATCATACAAGATAGTTTCCCAGAATATCATACCAGCCTTAAAGATCATACACTGCCAGCAAGTCCATGCTTCTCTTTCATGGCACCATTGCAAACAAAGCCAACAGAATTAGTGTTAACAGCATGAGATATAGAAGTTATAGCACAAATTTGAGTCTGCTAATTCCCTGCCAAGGGTTTTGTAATACAGCTTCCACCTGTCTCTGGATGGTGGACAAAGATGTCATTGAAGCTGTTTGTGTTGGTTTCACAATAAGATGATCATCTCTCCTGGTTTGTCTGTAGGGACATTGAGAGCTACACATCATGTATGTGCCCCCAAATATCTACTGCCTCTAACACTTTCTCACAGTATGGCAATTTAGCAAAACAGCCATCCAGCAAAATCCATACCCCCTCAGTCTGATGATGCAGATTTTTCAAACTCCATCAGTATTTTTGACTGCATCATACAGGCATACCTGGCATTCAATGATCTTCAAACAAAAGGTACAGTAAAAGTTCTGACACAGCCTATCCAAACCTTTTTATATGATACAGGGGTAATAAATTTTACAGTATTCTGGCAGCATTACCTGGCATGCAATTGGATCACAATTATATTCACATATTCATATACCTATCCAAGACAACCATATACCAACTTTTGCAGTAATCACAATTCTAAGTGCCTAACTTTTTGTCAATGAGTGTAATTTATAAAATTTCTAATTTATGTCTGCTCTGGAATTTCAAATTTTCTTAATTGTTACATATAAAAATTTCAGGTCATTATAGAAATTATAAAAAGGATATGAACTATGGCTTATTTTCCCTACAGATTTTATCACTTTAGTCAATTTGTTTTGAACTTCAAGTAGGAAGTTATAAAATTCAGCTGGCAACTGTGTTACAAGTCCTAAAAGAAAACAAATTGAATTAAAATCTTTAAATCTAGATATACTTTAAAAAAAATTAAATAAAACTTACCAATAGCCCCATAAACAGTACCAAATAAAACAGATCCTTGGGTTGGAGTAGTGCTTTCACCAGGATGTTGCATCACTAACGATCCTATTTCATAAATAAAATTGCTTTTAACACAATTAGGATTCCTTAAAAAATCACTAAAGGTAATTAATGGATAAATGAAATTTATAAAATAAACAGTATATTAATATATTTATAAAAGCTCTATATTCTACATTAATATAATACAAGGTGCACCAGAAACACCCAATGGTCTTTAAATTTTAATTTGCAGGACACCCATTAGGCTTCACTGTAATAAGATGGTGTACCTCAAAGTTCTGCTTAAGATGGAGTATTCGTTTGCGTAACATTGCATTGCAGAGGTAGAGGCATTTATCAAAGACAGTCTATCGTGGCCATACAACATGACTTTTGACACACGTTTGGTTGACATGATGTCTCCAGAAGCAATATTCTGTACCCACAAAAGAAATAATGGCATCAAGAAGGAACTATGAAGGGAAAGAAATGACCGATCCTTGTTTGCTACTTACACCAGAAGACATTGATCATGTACAGGCATGATCTTGTGTAGTTTTTGACGACCAGCTCAGCAGCAAGCTATTGCACTTAGATTGGCAGATACCAGTGTTTCTACACAAAGATCTTCACTACTATCCTTACAAGATCCAAGTTGTTCAGAAGCTTGTTGAACAGGACCAGGCAAAGCGACTTCAATTTTGCAATGTGAAACTGCAAAAATGTGTTCAAAATGTAGCTATTTACAAAATGTTAATTTCAAGAAATAACAGTGATACACATACATTCTTTAATAGAGAATGAATCTGTGCAAACCATATTTATGCTTTCCCCTGAAGTATTATTTTATTTAAAAAACTGTCAAACATTTCTGGCACACCATGTATATAATATATACTATATTAATGTATTTATTAATTAATGTAAATAACTACTATTCTACAGTGGTTCTCAATCTTTTTAAAGTCGGGGAACACACTAAACTTTGCATTTTTTTTCTGAGGAACACTTACATCAGCTTTAAAACGGGTGGCAAACCTTTTTGAAATCAAGTGGACTTGGTCTAGTAGAGGACAACATTGGTGTTTGCTGATTACATTCCCATACAGAAATTATTTTACATTGTATTGATTTTTCTTTTGCAACAATTTTTAATTGTATATTTGATTTTTTTCACAGAACACTTGAAGTGGCTTCACAGAGCACCCATGTTCCACAGACCACAGATTGAGAACCACGGCTCTAATACACTAAATTGGAATTTCACAATTTGCCCCTTTCACACTTTACAATCGAATAATAGAATCTGAGGAGAGCTTCTACCTATATTTTGAGGCTTTTTAATTAATCTAAAGTGTTATTTTGGATAGGATTCATGATTTACCATGTCTGAATACATTCACAAATTCTCCTAAATGAAACTGTCCAACTTCCTGTAAATATTGTCTTTCTTCATCAGTTGTTGCAGCACTAAATAAAATGATTATTTAAATAATTGTATATTTCAAAAATTTTCTTATAGAATTCATTACTCACCTATCTTTCTGGCATACAAAGAGATTAAATGAATTCTCTGCACCTAAAAACGTATCGTCGTCAAGAATCTCTATAGCTGACATCCAATTTGGTTGGTAATCACGAGCAATCTAAATATATTTGAAAAATGAATCAAAATTGCAATATGAAATTAAATTATTTCGAATTCTGAAAAGGCAGATCATTAAAACGGCCACCTCTTCAAAACTTCCTTCCAGTGGTTTATACGCCAACAGAGTTACTGATCTCATCAGGTCTCCAACAAGTATGAAATCGCCTTTTGTCTTTAAGAAGAGAGCAATAATATTGTTGAAATAACTGCATTCATTGTGTAATTCTCGTTCGGCAGTCCATTCAAAAAGCCTCACTGTGCTATTTACACTAGCCAATAACTTTCCATTAAACTCTAATAGAGTATATGGAGCACCTTTAATTTCTTTCTCTGCAACTTGTTGCAATTTACCTGTATATAAATAAAAGTTTATTTTTATTTTAATAACAAAAAAATTGTAAATACTCAAACTAACGAGACTATTGTAAAAGTTCTCATTACAAACCATCATTCCAATGAAAAATAACGATTCTTCCTAATTTTGGTTCAGATTCGTCGGGATTAACAACAGCTGTACCAACAATGTAATAAGTATTCGGATCTTCTCCTAATTTTGTTGATATAATACTGAGAGCATATTCATTGGTCATAAAATGATGAGCATGTAATACTATAGTGTGATGAAATGCTGAATAAGTTGTTTATATTAACAGAACAAATAATTTTGTCAGTTACAACAGTTTACCTTCAAACGTATGTTGATCAAGTATTAAAAGATTGTGTATTTCTACTTCTTGGCCAAATTGTTCACTTGTACTGCTACAAAGCCCCATATTATTTCCAGTTTTAATGATTGAACCTAAAGAACTAACAAATAAAAATTATTCTTTATATACAAGTAGAGAATGTTACAGTTGGCTGTATTATTTGTGTTTTATAAATTAACATTACAATAGCTAGTTACAAAATCAAAAATTTAAGTTTTAATTTTTATAGAATTTTATACATTAATTCACCAAAATAATTAAAAAAAGCAGCTAAATTCTTCTATTTCTTTAATAGCAAAATGCAAACTATTATTTTCTTAATAATTTATTCAACAAAATATCCACTGAATGAACAAATATAAACTGCTAAGCATCCTTATTATTTATATAGTAATACAAAGGGATTAACTAGGGAAGGGAAGGGAGTTTGAGACTAATTTCTATAAATACCCAGATGTAAAATCTGATATCCAATAACAAATATGAATTTTTTTCCCTATTTTAAATTACATTCAGTTCTGTTTATAAAAATTTTGCAATGCTCAAGCATTAGCAAGTTTAAATTTATACCTTACCAATTTTGTTAAGCACATTTAAAAAAAATTGACGGTATACAAATGCATCTACGCCAGCATTTATTGTTTTTCTAAGTCACATTTTTTATTTAAAAATAAAACAATTTATATCAATTTCCAAAATATAAAATGCATTTTAGCATAGTGATGATGTCGTAAGATGTTCAATGAGAAATACATTTCATTTTATATCATTAAAAACCTTTAATTGAAGTTCTTGTAAATAAATCAGTAATATTAGTTTAATAAATTTTATTTAATTAAATTAGTATTGTCAATTTGTACATGAACTACAAGCAGATGATGTCATTAATAAAGCTAGGACATCCCGGTACTAAAGATCAAGCAAGTTACAATTTTTATAACTATTCATATGATTTTTAGTGCCTAGATGTCCTAGCTCTAGTCATTACACTAATGATTAAAAGATTTAAATGAAAAGTGAAATATTGTTAGTATCAAATAAAATATTACAAAACATATCAACTAAGAAAAAAAAATTAAGTCACAAAAAAGTTGTAAATGTTAAAAATACAATAAAAACTAACATAAAATAAACACTTAACTGGTATCCAATCGATAAAATATATTTTAATACTCAAATTTAACTGTCATAAATAATGAACTGAATCACAATGCAAGAGTAAATAATAAAGCAAGACAAATACAGTATATTAGTCACATGGTTCTCGTATGAAATTTGAATTATCAGAACTGAAATAAATATGAGAGTTACCTATGTGTAACATTCTGTGCTTGTGTACTGGCACTCGGTCTTATTCCATTACTATCGGGAGTATCAATGCGTGCAGTAATAACGCCAAATGTTTGCGTGTTTTCTTGGTAAGCGATACGGCTATAAATAAAATTTATACTCAATTATTTACCGTAAAAATCTTAAATAAAAACAGTTATTTACTTTAAAATAACTGTTAGGAGAGAAAATAACTCACCGGGACGACTCTCCAAGCGGCACAGTCCGTATATGCAATTTTTGAATTTCGTCAATTGTACCGATTAATAAAGTACTATGATTTGCTAATGCTAAACTGTAAAATTTTATTTATATTTTATTAGAATATTTAAAATGAGTATAAATAGTAATAATGTTAGATCAAAAAGTATCTGCAATGTTTTTTTTTTATCATAGAATATAATAAACAAATATTTATTGTGATATTGTCACAATGCCAGGCTGTAATTTTTAACAATATTTTAAAATTTATTTATTTGAATGTATATGCTCTCTACCTCAACTTAGTAGTGTCTTGTCCCTGTACATCATACTTTTCCTGTTAGCAATAGTCTTGCTCATCATCTATCTAACTTCTTTCAGGGGAAAATTTTTGAATTGAAATAATGTGACTTTCTGTTTGCATTGGAAGTTTGTATCTAGTTAATTGAGGCTTCATGCCCCTAAGATTTCCATATCTGGTCTTGGCTTTCATCTATCTAACTCCATTCTCCAGATTAAGAAAGGACAGACAGATGACAGTGGGAATTTATAGGTCTAACAATTTTTTGAAATTGCAGACCAATAATAGAAAAACAATACATGCATCAATACATATCCCAGTCTTAAAATTTCAATGCAAGATTTATTTTTTGTAAACTTCTTAATATCGGTAGAAACATGGTGATTAGATATAGAGCTGTATTAAATACATAGCTTCCAATGACTTACTGTTATCAACAAATCACTATCTCCATAGAATATCATTCAAAAATTCAGTAATTAAAGTTGAACAGAATAAAGACATTAGGAATTGGCAGACTGAAATCTCAATAAATTCATTCTGTCTAATTCCTTCCAATAATAGATATTTTTTAAAGGAGACAGACAGGAGCTTGGTCATTTCTATCTATGCATATTTCAATGTCAAAAAGGCTTCATTATGACAAATGGCAAATATAGCTAAATTTATACAATGCATTTTATTTTACAGGAAAAAACACTGCATTTACCTCAACTTAACTTATTGTGAAAATATATACTTATACCTGTCAGGATATCCTTCAGAATTTAAAGGACACATATGATACACTTCTTTCAAGTTAACATTTGAAAAAACTAATTTATGATTGCTAGAATAAATAACAGTTGGCCTATCAGAACATGCAAATACATTTGTTGTTTGAAGAGATCTGAATGTCTTCAAAACAGTAGGTTGTGTTCCTAATGTAACCTATTGAAATATACAAAATTGTTTTTATTAGAACCTAGTAAACAATATTTAAAACATTTTTCAGCTTATAAATTTTAAAATAAACAGATTATCACCCATTATTAAAAAAATTATACAGAATCATAGTGTTGTAACCAGATTTGAATTTACAATACATAATCAATAAGAATTTTATCACAATCAAATAGTTCCATTTTCAAGAACTTCAGTACCTAAATACTGTACAATTTAGAAATTTAATATACAAAACAATCTAGTAATATATATACTGTAGGCTCTTTCCAAAAAGAAATTCTGCCATTTTAAATTACTGTAATTATGTTAACTATTACCTAAGAAGTATGCAATGCACACAAATCAATGAAGTAACTGTTTGAGTTTCGTCTACCATCAGCATTCAGATGTCTTTTCATCTAATGTCTGTAAAAAGTGCTATAAACAAAACATGGCAGTGACTCTGAATCAAGAAAGTGTTTTGCAGTCCACATACTTGGAATCAATCATCATTATGTGACGTGAATGTTTGCATTATGTGGTGGATAACTCTGAAATTGTCTGCAAAAATGTTTCACAACAATGACCAATTCTGAATTTGTGGACTGCAGAACACAAAACACAATCTCCACTGCAGAGTCTGTCTACTGCTATAAACAAAAATGACAAAAAATGTTTGAATGCAGATGGTAGATTAAACCTATTACTCTAGCAACTGGTGTACAACACACACTTCTCAAGCAATAATTAACAATTACAATAATTTAGAACAACATTCTTTCTGGAAGACCCTGTAAGTATATTACTGATGTATTACTTTGAATATAAGCCACAGCAGGAGTTCAAAATTGAAAAATTAGAAAAAATAAAAATGATTTTATATATATGATTTGCATCAACTACAGGGTATCTTCTTTTTTTAAACTCTGAGAATGATTTTCTGAGAACTTTTCGTATGTGGTTCTCCAATGATGCACATTCCTTTTTGTCAACCTTAAATCTTTTACCACCTTTGCAATTTCCAATTTCTTCAGCGCACACTATAACTTTTCTTTTGAATTTAGCATATGTAAACTGCTTTTCCATTATTAGTGAATATGGGTAATATAAAAAATTTACATAGCTACTATCAAACAGCAACTGGATTAAATCACAAAAGTGCATACAGGAACCACAGAATAAACTGCTATCAAAGATCATAATACTACCCACATATGTAGAATATAAAGCAAAGACCTGATTGTTGAAGAGAGGGAAATTGGCAGAAATAAGAAGTTAAAAATATTCGCACCCTAATTTTATGTCTTAAAAATTGGAATAAAAAGTGCAGCCTTAAATTCGAAATAATAAGGTATATTGTTTTTGATGTTAACATATTGAATTACTCGTATATGTTATGTACTAATACACACTTTTTCAATAATTCACTTAGAAGCTTTACAATTTTATTGACATATTTGAAGTTTTATATTTTACGCATTTGGTAATTAATTTTGTTTTTCTTCAATCCAATGTTATTTTTTGTTCTTAAAAGTAACTAAACACAATTTTACAAACTAAAATAAACAACAAAAGCAAAAAGAAATATTTTAAATATTATCCATTTGATAACTTATCATTAATAAATAAGTTTTACTGGTATAACTGAAATATTCTCATAAAGGTTTTTCATTTAAATTTACTTGATTTTTATTATAATTATTTTTATACTGAAATTAATGCATAGCTTTTATAAAATAGTAAAAAGAAAAAGTAGGATAATAGGAAAGTAGATAAATACAAGCTTTTAAATTACAGAAATTTAAAGCACTGACAACAAATTAACCATACTGAGCTACACAAACCTATACTCAAACACCAACTCCTATCTACTGTGCAGATGCATAACTGGTAATGCATGTGTAAAGCAGACATATATACATACATACAAGCAAGACATCGACCATACACGACGTGTTTAGCTGGAAGAAAAGAGGATAAGGAAAAGGGGGAAAAGAGGGAGAGGAGATAGACAGTAGAGAAAGCTAGGATCCCTCCAAATGGCATACATATGACTACAGTACCCTCTATGTTTGATGTTGGCATGCAGTTTTTAGGCTATAAGGCCTTAGTCCCCCAAAGGGTCTAAAAGAAAACCTGAGTGTAGTGAACACCAATAATTGATTGCCGCCTCAAATAGCTAAGTGTAGAAGTTAGTGCCAAGTGGCTGTTAGTAGGAAGACTTATATCTACTTAATATAATAAAACTAAACACAATTGTGAATCTTAATACAGCTTAACAGCTAGACAGACAGTGCGAAAAACATATGAACACAATGACAAACTAGACGAGACAAATGAGCAAGACCCCAAAAAAGTTTATTTTTATTATTTTTTTTTTTACATATTTATTTATTTTCTTTTTTTAAAGTTAATTTACTCACTAACTAAACTAACCTACCATAACCTAGGACGAACCTAACCAGACGACTAAAGCCAACAAGCCTTAATCTACTTTAATCTAACCTATCATAACCTAATCGGAAATCAAGCTAAGAGTTCCTAATCTAAATTACAACTAGGACTAACCAAACTTAGAATGAAAAAGAAGACAGAAAATAAAAAATAAAATACAAAGTTGAAAGGCAGCTATATACCAACAGTTGAAAGAAAGCAAGGGAAAGCTAATTGCCATCCTGCCGCCAGAGTGAGTGCTCTCAAGAGCCCCACTAAGGGATATGAATGTAAGTAGATGATGGAACATTGTATGTGTATGAATGAGTTGGTGCGGATTGCAAAGGCAGTTGTACCCTTCAAGAATAGCAGCTCTTGATCTCAGTTGATCGATATTCGGATAATTGATGCTCTACCGTATATATATGTAAACTTTTGACCTGGAATAGAACAAATTAATGCTAATAAATGAAGAGTAAATCCAAACTACAACAGGATAAAGAGACATTATAAGAAACTGTCATGCAAAAATGTCAATCTAATAAAAGAAAAATATTTTAAGCAGTTGTTTTCTTTTAGTTACTCAAATGTAGAATAATAATTATTTTCCCATTTTATATATATATATAAATCTGCATTTATTAATTTAGGTAAAAATCAGTACAATGATTAAAAAACATCCAATTTTTTTTTTATATCAAAATTTGTCAAGTAGAAAATTATATGATGTATCAAATATGTATATTTATATAATTCTACAATACTTTTTATTTACAGAACAAAGTTTTTAAAGTTGTATTTACTTGAAAAACTATTAGTTTACAAAAGCAAATTATCTAATTGTTAATTATATTTTTCCCACATTTATTTTTATAACTTTATAGAAGTACACAGAACCATTTCATTGTAATGAAACATATACACGTGTACATTGATTGGAAAATGGTGGTGTGTGTTTTGCATGTATTTTGTTTTAAACAGTTTATATTTTACAGAAACTATGAGCATCTTCTCTCAGTACACCTATGAAAACATTAGGAAAAAGGTAGGAAGTAATAATAATTAAATTGGTATATGACAAAAAATTCATATCCAACCATTTTTCTCATATGAACAAATTTTTAGAAGAATTATAAAAGAATGACAATTCAAAGACATCACCTTTTTCCTATCTGTTAAGAATCCAGTTTCTGCATTTAAAATAAAATAGAATAAAGAACCATCTCCTAATGCACATAATAAATAATGAATTCCTTCAAATGTTGTCGCTAATACAGATCTAGGAATAATATCTGAAACAAAAGATATTCTATTTTTTATAGCTCAAATTATCAATATATTTAATTTAATTAAACACTTACCACCGCCAAGCATTTCTTTATGCATCTGTTGCAACGAAGGAAAACGTAGGATTCGGACAGATATATCTGTCCATAATCCCACAGCACATAATGTTGTTTTTTCTGAATTTTCATCTAATGGGTTAATATCGAGACAAGCTACTTCATGTTCCATTACTGTAGAACTAAAATTATTTTTATCAAATTAAATGTAAACTTTGTTGAATATAAAAAGGAGAATAAACAATAATTACCTTATTTGTTTAATTTCACCAGAATTAATTTCCAAATAAAATAATTGATTTCTGACTGCACATACTATTTGACACATATTACAAGCAACAACGCTTATGTTCTGTTCCAGAGGTGGACACCATTCAAACAACAACTGTCTGTTCTTCTTATTTACTAGACGTACCGAAGCAGCAGTAACCTTTCATTAAAATAAAAATAAAAAATTAATTTTTATATTATTTTTATAATTCTGCTGCAAAGTATTTTTCATAAAGTACAAAGTCCATGATTTTCTTTATGGAAAAAGTTAATGACTCATTTATATCGTTTTTCTCATACCTAATTTGAGTTTTTGGATATCTAATTCTCTCAAGATCACTTACACAAGAATTTGTTTCAAGAATACTGATCTAAAGTCATTTAAAATTTCTTAGATTTTATTCAAAAGTTTTTTGGAAGTAAAACTTACTGTAAAGAAATGAAATGGTTTAAAACAATATAAGTGAGTTGGAATTTTAATAGTGAGAAATTTTCCATAATTTTGTAAAAAATACAATATTGAGTGAAATCTGGACAGCAGTATGACAAAATGAAATGTGCCTGACATCTTGAACAACATTGTCCAAATCACCCAAAAGATGTTGCTGCAGTAGTTGTTTGCAATACTAGTGTTTGAACTAACTGGCCTAAACAGTGTTTTCAAAGATTAAAACATTCTTGGCTAAAAAGTGAAGTGGCCCAAGATCAAACAAAAACAATGGTGCTCTATCATATAGGTATAACAGTTCAGAAGAGAACAAGAATGAGTAAAAAGTGCATGATGCAAATCTGCAGTTGAACAGCAAATGGTGGAATCATTGCTGAAAAGAGATGGTGGTCAATTTGAGAACTTGTTGAAGTTGGACTGGAACAGTCTGCATATATTACAGACCAAATCACAGATGAGGAAAATTGCAGCATTTTGAGTTTTTTGTCATTTGGACAACTTGGTAAAAGACATGTTGGCTTGATGGCATTGGAAACTTATGAAGCATCCTCCATACTCTCCTGTAATGACTTCAATCTTTTCTGTAAAGTGAAGAAACCAATTCATGGACAGTGCTTTAAATCAAGAGAAATTATAAGTGCAATAGACTACACAGTGGTGGACATCAACTGAACTAAGTCTGCTGATAGCACCAAACATCTTCCAAAATTATGGCAACTGGTAGATGGATGAAGCTGTACGGGAGGAACATATCTAACAGACATATTTATTTTATTTTGGGTATTTAATAAAGGCAACTTTCTCACTATTAAAATTCAAACCTTCATACAAATATTAAATATATGATACATTTATATAAAAACATACTTTCTTCTAAAATACTATTTGTGCAAATTGATTTTACGAAAATTTTAAGTATGCTAGTTTAAATAAAATTTTCAAGTCAGACTAATGAAATTTTAATTTCTTTACTTTTAAAATATAAAAACTTTTACAAATTACCTGAACAATTTGATCATATTTTACATTGGCACAGTAAAATGTTTGTTTTGAAGTGTCAAAACCAGGAATTTGTGTTTCCTCTACTTCTTCTCCATTGAAAGATACAACCCTAGCAAATGCAATTAAATGTTATAATATTTTTTCTAATCAAAGTCAACTAATTAGTTTTTGCTTACCTAGTCTGACCAACAAAGGCAAGAATCAAAGTATTATCATATTGTTCTGAATTATCAATCTTTAATGGCCAAATTCCTTTTATTCCGGGTAGATCAATACTTGCGTGCTCGTGTATTCCAATTCCATTTCGAATTATTCTTAATGAACCTTCTTTGTAGGCTCCAGAACACGTCACCAACTTTATAATTAATACATATTTACTACTAATTTCAACATAAATTTAAAGATATCGATTTAAGTTAATCTCACCTGTCCTTGACCTTGTCTCTCTAAATCAACAACACACATATCAACAATTGGTCCTAAATTGGTAAAAGTTTCCATAACTTCTACATAAGTACCATGATCTCCTCGTTCAACATTTAGTTTTATTAACTGTGAATCTCCTAATCTGGACCCCACATAAACAACACCATTATCTAAGTACGTGAGGCATTCAGGAATGGTAATCTATGAAGGAAAAACTATTATTCAATAAAAAGTTTAGATTTTTTTAAAAATAAAATTTGTTAAACATTATTTGAAAGTTATCTAGCTAATGGAAACAATGATCTAATATTTCATGTTTTTAATTTAATGGCAAATCATAAATTTATTATAATAATAATAATTTAATGATACAAGGTAAAATATACAGAAGATTAAATTTTATTACAATCGATAGTAGTGTCTAGATTCCAAAAATGTGATAAGCAAATATATGATCATACCTCACCCAAATATTCAAGCTTCAAATCTCTAACAGAAACAGTTCCATCCATTTTCTCTTCTTTTTCAATTAGAACCATAAATAATCTTCCAGACATATTACCAAGTAAGTAACGGGATCCATTAGAATCTATTTTACCATAACACACAACTGTGCTTTGCTATTATTAATTAAACACAATATATTAAGAAAACTGAATTTTTATAAACAAATTAGTATAAATACAATTAGTTTTCTATTGATAATTCAAATTTTATCTTGCCTTAATGATATGAGGAGCAATAGCAATATATTTATCACCATTATGATATGTAATCGACTCTTGACCAATAATCAGTGCCCCACCAAAAGGTTCTGGAACTACAAATGAAGCTTTTCTTAATTATTACATGTAAAACTAAATATAGCATCAATCAGAATAAATAATAAATTAATGAAATATTCTTATCTACCAGCAATAATTATGGATGCTTCACTTTCAACGTTATCCTGTTTCCAAGGTCCTTTAACAAATTCTTTATCTCTTAAAGATATCTCATATGTTTTCACATGACGTCCCTGAACATCTTGATGAATGAGAGCAATTGTCGGGGCTTGACAACCATGAAGGAACTCTATATCTTGAACATTCAATTCTTCCATTCTATAAAATTATTTTATAAATCAATAACTTTTAAGACAAAAAAATCTATTACTTCCCAAATTTGTAATATAAATTAAAATGAAAATGATAACCTGTGCATATGTATATGCCTACATATATGCATAAATTAGATTTGGGCTGATTTGTATTAAGATATTTCATATTTTAACAAAATACAAACCATAATCTAAATTACCATAATTTTGTGTGGTAACTTGTTGCATTTAAAAATTAATTTGAAGTGGATGTGGGTTATCTGTTGATTTTAATTCATAATTATGAATTCAAACAGCTTTTCCTTTTCTGAAGTTACCAAGAGAAGCAGGCAAGGGCTCTCGCATGACTTTCCTGCCATTCATAATTTACAAAGAAAGTTATTTATAGCACCATCTGTTATCAGATCTTATTAAAAAAACTTTTTTACATTATTAATTATTATAAAAAAGCAAAAGGCTTATTTTAGGGTAGGAGTGAGTTTTTGAAGATATTATAGGTGAGAATGAGTAAAACTTCCTTCTTTCCAAAGTGTGTTAATTTGAATCTTTTCTGCAGGAGTTAATTACCTTCCAGATCCCATTTTCATATACAGAAATGATAAATGCTTGTACAGTCAAATACCAGATGTTCTAGAACATGGTACCAATTAAAATGTATTGCAATGCATGTATTGTTATACAAATTCAAACTTTCAAAATAAACTAATGTGTTAAAATAATATTAATTCAATTGTACATTAAATTATATTAAGTATGTATTGATCTTTATCATATTGTTTAATATTTCTCTTTTGTATTTTAAAATGAAATGTGTTCATATTTTGTTATTAATTTTCAAATTTGCTCATTGAAATGTAATAAAATGATTCTTTTCACAACATGACAAACTTATGAAAAGTAGTCATAAATTGCTTAACTTACCTAATATTAAAAGCTTTTAGCTCTCTGTTTTCTCTTTCTAATGGGATAATTTTGAACAAGCCATCGTAAAGTCTTAATCCAATAACACGACTTTCTGGATCAATAATTCCAATACTACCTGTTTCTGAAGGTCTTGCAATTGTATCCTACAAGTTATTGTAAATTAATCATTAGACAAATTATTATTTTTTTCATTTTTTTTAACAGAAGAAAAATATCACTTACAGCAACATTTCCATGTGCTTTAGTAATAATTTCTAAAGACTCTCCATCTTGAATGCATTCTAATATAGCTGCATTATATTTATACGTGAGGAAAAAAAGAAAATCCTTTTTCTCACCCTGGTAATCACACAATACAGAAAATTTTTTAAATTTTATTATTGAGAGTAGTTATAAGTACACATAATAAACTTCAGTACAATAAATGTATAATTCTTAAAAATATCATATTTACTCGAATAATCCATGCACTTTTTTCCCTAAAAATCATGACAAAAAGTCAGAGTATGTGAGATTTATTTGAACAAATTTGGTGACACTACTTGACAAGTTCAGGAAACTTCCAGTTATAAGTTACTGTGCATTTTGCTTAGTTTGCTAATGATAAATATAGTTAATAGTTACAAGTATTATTATTAAATGTTGTAGTATAACTAATTTTGTGGAAATGAAGATAAATAAAGTAAGTTACTGACAGTGAGTAACCTTTTTACCTGTATTACTTCTTAATTTAAATTATTGGTCTATCAGCAGTTTTTCATCTATGATTCTAATTAAACAACACAAACAGCTCTTACTTCCATTTAATTATTATATTTATAATAAAATACATTATTATAATTTGCAAATAATTTCTTATTTTCCTCCTAGGTACTTTTATCTTTTGTAAACTAGTATATTTGTAAACTGAGAACCACCAAATTGAATGCTACAAAATAATGAGAGTGAAAGTTGCTATTACGTTACAACCATAAATAATTTGTTAAATATGTAATGAGCAATTATTTATTGTGACATCGTCACAATGCCAGGCTGCAATTTTTAATCATATTTTAAATTTATTTCATTTAAAATATATGCTCTCCACCTCAAATTAGTAGTAGCTCACCCCTGTACACCATACTTTTCCTTTAACAATAGAGTCGTGCCACTCATCTATTAACTGCTTTCAGGGGAAATTTTTGAACTGGAATACCATGACTTCTGTTTTGCATTGGAAATTCATACATAGTTAATCAGAACTGCCTGTCCTAAGCTTTCCATACTTGGTTTTGATGTTCATCTATCTAACTCTGTTCTCAGGATTAAGGAAAGACTGATGGACGGACAACAGTGGGAATTTATATAGGTCTACAATTTTTTCAAATTGCAGCCCAATAAATTAAATTGATCAAGTTTATTTTTAATCTAGTATATTAAAAAATGGGATGCACAGATTATTTAAGTAAATACAATATGTTTATAATAATTTAATTTTTAAAACATTATAGACACTTAGTTATATCCAATTACAGTTAAAAATTCACTCATTTTTTTTACTAAGAATGTTGACTGAACTACAAAAAAAATGCATATTTCAAATTACATTGACAAACAAACTTTATATGAATATTCAAATAAAATGAATTATCATGGTAATTATAATAGCTGATTAACTTTGACAATAAATTAGTATAAAAACTTGTCTACTTTTTTCTGATTATGTATAAAATTCAAACCAAATTTTTTCTTCTTATACAGTGGTACCTCATACTTTGAACAACTCCAGCTTCAAATGCTTCAGAGTTTGAATGCTAAATTCGACAAAATTCCGCCTCAGAGTTCAAACAATACTTTGAACTGTGTGTGCAGTAAAAAAATGCATTCAAAGTATAAACCCCATCTGTTGTGTGCCTAAGTTGGCTCTCATGTTATGCTCACATGTTTTCAGTGTTTTTTTTTCACTTTACTTTTAGTGTGTTTGGTTATATATATTGTGTTATTCATAAATTTTTTAATAATTTCTGCTCTTTAATTTTTCTTCATTGACAGCTTTTGAGTGTCCCGTGCATTTTTTATCTTTTAATTAAAAATTTTCCAAAAGGAACTTTCTAATCCACATTTGACCCATTCAAAGTTTAAGCGCATCTTCTCCATAAACATTAAAAATTTTTTTACTGTTTATATAATAGTGTATCCTACAAAACTCAAAGTATAATATGCCTGTTATGTTTTTTATTGGAAAAAATTTCAAATTGATTTTATTCAAACAAAATCTGAAGCAAAAAGTTCAAAATAAGCTTCTAAACAAAGAATACAATTCCACATTTATTGATAAAATAATGTGTTAAATTTCACAACTGTTATATAATTAAATCACACAACTATGTTAGTTAACAACAACTGCTAAAAATATGCAAAAAACTCTGTTCAACCCAATATAATCTTTACTTAACCACACAACTGAGAAGTGTGCAGAAGCAACAAAGTCTACGAGGAAGATTGTAGTATCAACAATTAAGATGAAAAAAAGAACTTATCGCAAAGCATGAAAGTGGTACACGTGGCCGTGTTTAAGATACCAAAGTCAACGGTCCGTAACAATTTAATGCAATTTTCATTTTATTATACAGTATTTATATATTTTTTTATTGTTTTTAGTGTTTTAATTTATTATTAGGGCATGTAATTGTGTTATTTTACCTTCAATTCTGTACATTTTCTGTTTCAATATTACTGAAATGAATTTTGTTTAGGGTCCAATAATGGATTAATAGACTTTCCATTATTTCTAATGGGAAAAATTGATTCAGACTTCAAAAGGCTCCTGGAATGAATTAAATTTGAAGTATGAGACACCACTGTATTTAAATTATTTCAGTTTACACTAATTTATCATTTATTGCTTTAATATTTTATTTTTAAAAATTTAAAATATATAAAATTAAAATTTTTAAAAATTTTTCTGTATCCAAAGAAAGAACACAATTTCCCAATTTAATTTTTATTATTTTTATTTTTTGCATTATCACATGCATGGGCAAGCATTATCTTAGTGAAAGACAATCCCCTTCCAGTTGATCAAGTACAGACATTTCATTTTAAGATTTTCATTTACTCAATCCAATTGATGATGATAGATACCAAAATTTATTTTTATTATTATTATTCAGTATATTATCTAATTCTGTACTAAACAGTACAGGTATACCTCGACTTACGTCGTTCCCGATTATACATCGTTTGTCAAAAAAGTATATGGAAAAATAAAAATCAAGTTTAAGTCATTTTATTCGACTTTACGTCTGTCCACCACAAATATTGAAATCGTAATATCACTAGAAAAATGTTTAAAGCACATAAAATCATATTATAATATACACATTTACAAGTATATACTGTATTTACAGTACATGCATTCGTAAATTTAGATTACTTTTTCTGTACTATATTAAAAACTAAAATTTATTTGTTTGTAAGCTTAAAATAGATCTTTATTAACCGTATATTATTAAAAATGCATTAATAAATAAAATACAGAACGGGAATTGGTAATTTATGGTTTAGCCTAGTGGCAAGTAGATTCAGAGACAAGTAAATTCAACTTATGTCGTTTTTCGACTTAAGTCGTTCTCCTGGAATCAATTACCGACGTAAGGCGAGGTATACCTGTACAGTAAATAATTCAAACTTTCATACAGGGTAATTGTATATTATATGAAAGTTTGAATTACTGTATATTACAAAGAATGTATGCATAACATGTGAATATTTTTACTGTATTTTTTTGGTTTATTTTTATAATTTGTATTAAATTTTCAGCAGGATTCAGTGTTGTACTCTAATTACATTTCTGTGCATCAATTTTTTCATAACCCATCTACTTGACCACCTCACTTACGTGACCAGAAAGTGAATACCCCAAAAGTGGCCATATAAGTGAGGTTTTACTATATTATATTAGTAAATAGCAAAATTAAATATTCAATATTTGGTTGAATACAAAGACAGTAATAAAAATATTCATTATTCTTATGTTACTTACTAAACTTTGAAAATTTTTTAAAAAATTAATATTTCTTAAAAGTTAGCTTACCGGTGGTCTGAAAAGTTTCATACAAGTAATCTTTCCATAAATATTTATTTCTTTGATAGGTCTCAATCCTTCTGGAGATACAACGTATATTTCCAATCTAGTATTTTTTGCTAAAATCAAATTTATATCTTCTGGAGATGTAAAGTTACCTAGAATAGCATATACAATAGCAAAAAAATTAGCTTTCTTTATATCAAATGTACAATTTCAGAAAGAGTATTACATTTGTAACTTTTAAAATCATAATTAGATTACAACAGTTATGTATAAATATATATAACAATATATAAAATTTAATATAAAATGAATAAAAATTTTTTATTACAAGTTACACAACATTAATATTAGTTCAATTCTGTTATCATATAATGTAAAGAATTATCATCATCTTTTAATATTAAAATTACAAAAAATATTAAAAATCCATATCTTGTTGAGTGTATTCAAGTTCCCTCTTTGATACATATTACCATATAACTATATTTCCTTTTCCTTGTTAAACATTTTTATGTATAAAATTAGGTTTTATTTAGTGATGTGCCGGATCGTTAAAAATGTATATCCGCGGATACGGATACGGATACGGATCATTCGTGTCTAGATCCGCGGATACGGATATGGATACGGATCTCAACTTTCGTACTCAGTCGGCGCCGGTGCGTGTGACCTTGGACCGATAGTTGACGCTTTGCGTTAATAACGCGACGTGTTTTGACTTGCACTGCGCGTGTTTTTGTTTATGGTGTAAAAATGTGCTAAATTAGAATTCACCACAAAGGCAGACAGGATAAAGTAACAAAAGTTAATATAATTTTCCAATTGAGCTTTTTTGCGTCTTTATACAGATTCTATTTCGGGGGATTCCAACTTCACGGTACAAACAGTAGCATGCGAAATTACAGCGATAATAATAGTTCGCTGTATCCAAATCACGTGTACAATACAGATCCCGATCGCGACAATATAACCCGGAACCTTAAAACTAACCTTAAACACTAACTTAACACTAATAACAGAAAAAGGGATAGAATTAAGAAGACAGAAAAAATGATAGATAAGATAGAAATAGAGATATCTGGGGTTTTGTCCCTTTTTTCGGCTTGTTTCTTTATGCATACTGTTGGGTGGGATAACACACGCCCTTCTCTTATAACTGGCCAGTTCTCTTCTTCAATAATTAGGATTTTTTCTTCCACAGTCGTCAATACGACCTTAAAAC